GAGAGACGAGGGCGAAAGGGGCGGGGTGAGAGACGAGGACGAAGGGGGCGGGGCGAGAGACGAGGAGGCTCCGATGCCGTTCTTCCACCCTCCGGGTTGGAATCGGGAGGAAAGAAAAGACGAAGACGTCGGCCTCCGATGCGATGGCGATCGGAAGACCGGAACGACCTCGTTCGTGTCGCAGGAACGTCGCATGCGAATGCGGTGATACCCCCCTTCGCGCGCCGTTTCGTCGTGGCGCTCGCGATCCCGAAGAGAAACATTTTTACCGAAAATCAAAAAATAAAGAGGAAAAAATCCAAAATACGAGTCAAAGGTTACGAACGAGAACATCGACGTCTCGTTTCGCATCTCTTATACGCGATGGTACGATGACCCCTTTTAGCGCTGCTTCAGTTACCGCTCTCTTTTCCAGGAACGCATCCCGAGCGCTAAGCGGGGTTATTACCGTATAACAAGGGTGTCAAACTCAAATCGGTCGGCGGGCCGCATTCATTGCCCCGCAGATGCCTGCGGGCCGTACCCGTCATTTTTTGCCCCGATTTCTGCCGACAGTCGATCCGAGCGGAAATCTGAAGAACAGACGGCAGGCCGGACGAACCACCTCCGCGAGCCGTATGTTTCACACCCCTGCCGTATGAGAATCGTTCCTCATCATTTTTGCGTGGACGTTTTAAGATTTTTCGTGCACCGACGTAAGTACCGTCGTGAGTCTATCGTAGTAGAACTGGCGGATGCAAAAACCACTATGGTAGTAAAGTCGACTACGCAAAATCGATTACGGTGGTCGCGATTGCGTACGCGAAAAGCACTTCGGTAGTCGGTTTTGATAGGAGTCACATTCGCGTCCTACACCTACGTTTAAAAAAATAAAACCTGGAAACATCTCGTTTCCTGTGACTCGGACCTTGCACGAAATTCAAATCGCATTAGTGAAATCACCCACAAGAAACGAAAAACAAGACGTCTACATGTTGCGTGGTTTTCATTCTTCCGACGGCAGACCTCTCATGGATCGACGCGAGAGCGCAGAGGTGCTCGAATACGATTTCCCCATCCGCAGGTTTTTAGCTTCATTCCGGTCCGCTACGAATCCGCAGTCAGAAAATGGAACCGTGAAGGATTTCGTACGGACGGTATAACGGTTTCGCTTCCCGTCGCCGCGATGTTACGTCCGGACGTCACTTCGAAGTCTTCGCGAGAACCTCTCGCGACGGCGTCTCGATTAATAAAGGAATATCGTTTCCATGAAGCTAGCGTCGTTTAACCTCGTATGACCTGGGTCGACTCACGCGTGCCAAATCCTCTGGCTGGGTCGGAAGAAGTCGATATTGCTTCTGAGGCGTTATATGTACGTGTGCCTCTGCATATCGTAAATGTTTTTTTTTTATCCCGATGCACGAATTCACGCTTTGCATGTTCCCATACGTGCAATCTCCGAGTGACGATACGGTGATACGGATGTAAACAGGTGTGGAGATATGGATATGGGTCGTACACAGATGCTTTGCCTTCTTTCCTTTCGGTCCGTGGTCCGGATCGAGCCTTCGAGATCGTTCTCATTATTATTCTCGGAGAGAGTCGGTATCTTGCGCAAAAACGACCGGGAAAGAGTCGTAATCGGCGTGCCGTGCGGCAGCGACCGACGTCGGGAAGCAGCGACAGCTTTCGAGAAAGGCGAAAACTCGGTAGTTGCGAGTCGCGAGTCGAGATGGCAGCGGGGTGGCATCGCTAAGGTGAAGCGGAGCGGAAATTTCCTGCTTCCGTCCCGTTACGTTTTACTGGTCGGGTATGGCCTGGGACGAGAGGAAAGGGAAGGGAGCGGAATGCTTCTCTCATCCTTCGACGAGAAAAGCTTCTTCACGGTCACCGGCCATTTATCCCCTCCGGACGTTGACTTCCTCTCTCCTTTCCGACGGGGAAGTAATCAACAACTCTGTAAACAGGGGAACCGCCTCCGAAGATTCGAGAGACTGGTGGTTTTCCTTTTTTTTCTCTCTCTTCCTCCTTCCTTCGTCACCGCGAAACGTGATCGACTCCTTCGACCGAAATTCTTTCCCATCCGAAAAGGAGGAAGTAATCATCATTTTCTCTCGTTTCCTGCTCCCGAGCATTCCATACGATTTTCTTCTTTTCCGTCGATATTAAAGCTCGAGGCATAGGAATCTCGCGTTCTTATTCCACGCGTGCCCCTTTTTTTTGTCGAAGGAATTTCGCGACGTCATCATCGATTTAGCCCTTTCCTCGTTCGTCAGAGGGAAGTCCATAATGCTCCGCCGCGTCGTTCTGACCGACTGGTCTTTCTCCTTTCGATCGCGATTAAATGGACGGCAGCGAGAGGCTAACGAGCGAGTAATAACAATATTTAAATAGAGAAGGATGGTGAGGAAAAGATACGGGACCGAGATGAAGACAAAGATGGAGGGTTTCCAAGCCCCAGGAGGCCGTTTCCTCCTCCCCCCCCTCCCCTCCCCTCTTCTACCATCCCCAGAATCCTGAAGGCATGCGCATTCTTTACTCGAAACATCTTTATATAAATAACCCCTTAAACATAGCCAATGCTTATATAGCGATACACATTTTCATGCGCGTTACCGGGTTACCTCGACGTCGAGCGAAAGAGAATTTTCTTTGTTCATCATGTGGGATCGAATCCAGCGATGGTGGAAAAAGGTTCTCCATATCTTCCTTTCTTTTCCCCCATATTTACTCAGGGCAGAAACAAAGGGGACCCAAAGACAAACGATTTGATAAGTTTCTCTACCGTCTCGCTGTCTAATTAGTTTTTTTTTTCTCTTTACTACAAAGAACATTTCATTTGTTTGCTTCTCCTTTGTTCGCGACGAGGCGTGTGAGCTCTGTCGGAACATTTGCTTCCATGTAGTCGTAGGACCGAAGAGAGATCGGGACGTCTTAGAATGTCGAATCCGAAATCGGGTCTTGTTGGCCTCTGTTCGCGCCCTGTCTCCGGTATCGCATGCATAATCTGTGCCGCACGTGACAGAGCATGGCAGGATTTCCACACGACCCCGCTTTTCCACGATCCGTCTCGCCCTCGAACGGGACCGAGAAATGGCGACACTGTACGTGTGTGTGTGCTCTGTTTTGCCCCGTAGCACGCGTTGAGGAACCGAGCGAAACGAGAGGACCCCGATGGCTGCACGAATCCGGGCGACTCGGAGAAGATGAAGAAGACCGGTAACAACGGGAGGGTGGTGATCAAGGAAGAGAAGACCCGAACTCGAATCATCGTCGGAGTGGGAGAGACCAAGACGAAAAAGGAGAGGCAATGGAGTGGAAAGAAGGAGGAGGAGCCGAAATCAGCCAGGCCGAGCAGGGCCAAGGCGACTGCATCCACTCAGACGGATCAGCCCAGTGACAGGGCCGCCACCGCTCCTACCAGTAGCAGCGGCAGCAGCGGTCGGAGAGTGACGGTGCCGGTGCCGGCGGTGCCTTCCAGGAAACCCATCCTGCGAATCCCTTCCCATTCCAATCCCGCTTCGCACATCACGCACGAGGATTTGACTTTCTTCAAGCAGCAGATCGGCATCCTCCCCGGAGGGAGCCTGAAGAAGGCTCAGAGTTACAACCAGGGATTGGAATCCGCGTCTTCGCGCGGCCTGTATCTGAGCCGGACCCAGAGTCTCTCGTCGGGTCTGAACCACGAAGTTCGGCGTCCCGTCATTCGTGTGCCTTCCGTCGAAGAGATCCTGGAGGGAGTGAAGAATCTCCGGAAGCAGAATCCCGGCATCATGGTGAAGAATTCTTCCTGGTTGAAAAGCACGAGGGAAAGCCCAAAGGGGGTGGGCGATGCGGATCTCTCCGTCCCCTCCTCGTTTGGAGCGGCCTTCACCACCAATTCCCCGTTGATCCGAGTGAATTTCTCCGGACCCGGAAAGGAGAAAGACAAGCCCGAACGAGGGGACGAACCCCGTAACCGTACTCGCGACGACGGGAAAGAGGAAGTGTTCCAGGCAGTGCCCGCAAACGGCGTTCACGATGGAGAACCGGAATACGAGAATTTGATCGGCGGGACGGAGAACTTGTACGAGAACCTTCCGGGAACGGGAAGGAACGTCCACGATGAGGAAGACGAAGAGGAAGAAGAGCCCGGAGAAGCCATCTACGAGAAACCGGTCTTCCTCCACAAGACGAACGGGAAAAGCCAAGAGGACGAAGACGAAGAGCCGAAGTACATGAACGTGGAGATACCGTCGAGCAAGAAGACGAAGAAGTGGGCTGGAGGCGAGGAGGAGAACGAGATCGAGCGAATCTATGCAAATGCGAACGTGTCGCAGGGAGACTACGACGTCCCTCGTCCCGCCACCCACATCTACGATTGTCCACGGACTCATCCTCTCCCCCATACGCCTCCTCCAGGCTAGTCCATTCTCTCTTCCTTAATCCTACAGTCCTTGCCACCGACATAACGTATACGCTTTCCATTGCTCGGAGGTTTGTTTTAGCTTTTTTTTTTTTTCTCCTCCCTCGGGTTTTTTTATATATATATATTTTTTTATTTGAGTCCCATGGTCAGGGAAGACCAGAGAGAGTTCGTCGCCCCGAAACGGGGAGTATTATGGATGGTTGGACTCGCCTTCGCCTCTCTGAACACTAGGGTTTCTTTTTTCTTTCTTTCTCTCACACTCGTGCCGGTTCGAGTCGAAGGGAAGCATATTTTTGCGGTTCCCCTCGACCGCATTCACGAACTGCTCCTTCCTATTTCCCCCAGCATACCTGCCCCGCAGTATCATTTTTTTCATACGGGGAAAGGGAGAAAATGGAGCACGTACGCTTCAGTTACGTGGAAGCTATGAGGAAGGGGCATCGAGTGAGTGCATGACTATGCAGAACGTAGTCGGGCTGTTGACCCTCGGGTCTCCCTCTCGTCGGATCGGAATGGGATTCCATCATCGACTACGTTTTACGAGGTTTACGAGTTTTACGAGGAAAGCCATAGGGAAATCCACGTAGAGAGAACGGGGAACGGCGGGGACGTATCATGGCGTAGCGAAGTGTAAATGCTAATGGTACTCATCGAGGGAGGTGAATGTTTTTCCCCCTCCCTCCCGCATGGCGAAACCGCAGACATCTGCTCGGCGAGACCTACCTCTTTCTTCCGAAGCTCATCATTTTATCCTCTTCATCCCCCTCTCATCCCATTCATGGTGATTCATGTTCGTGACTCTTCGCATGATATGAACCATAAAGGGCTTTACGCTTTACAGATTACGGAAGCGATGGCGAGGGTGGGGGAGGAGAAGAGGAAGGAGAAGACGAGGGACTAGACGAGGGACTCGGCGACAGCGAACCCGCTCGCAGCTCTCTCAACGACGACATCGGTCAGTTTTTCTCTTCTCTCCTCGGGAGGAATGAAAAACGAGGATCATCCGCGTCGGTCCCGCGTCCTCGGGTCACACTCCACTGCTTTTTTTCCCCTCATCCTCTTTTAACATTTTACGATGTAGTTTTACGACATCATTCTAATCGAGTCCGTTTCGGTCCCCCGATCCGGCCGAGCTCCTATCGAAGTACCGAAACCGAGCAACGCTATTTTTTTTTTTATCTCGAACTTTTTGCTTCGTAGTGTTCGTTCCTCTTCCCCTTCGTACGGAGAAAACGAAAAGGTCATAGTTGCGATAAGGAGAGGGATGTCGAACAGTGCTACGGTAGTCTTCGTCGGTGCCTCTCCTCCTGCCCTGTACGTTCAGGTTTTGCTCTTCTCTCTTTCTCTCGAGCAAAGGATTCAGTCGGATAGTCATTGTAGCAGTTGAGTGCGTTTTCACCACTTATTTTCCTCCTCTTCTAACTCCTCCTCCCTTCTTTTTTATGCCGAAGAGGTCATGGCCCGAGGTCCTCTCGAATCCCCAGCCCCATTTTTCCACTACAAGGTTCACTGAACACGCTAATACTGCCTCTTTCACTCGCTGCACACGTGTGGTGTAGAGTACCGGTACAGTACATGAAAACACCATTACCCCCACATTCGGGTAATTACGTTCACCCTCTTCCGAACGTAGGCGACGCAGACAGACAGAGGATTTCATCAATCATTCTGCAAGTTCAAACCATTATCATTGAGCTAGGACTATGTAATTCATTTTTATCCCTTTTCCACAGCCGCAATTTAAATTTCCCGATTACGAACCTTTCCTAATAATTTTGCCCCATTTTTTTTTTTATTTTGCGGATCTTACATGCTGGTTCTGATGAAAAGGTAACGACGCGATACGTTGAAAATCTTCGTCGTAGTTCTTTTTCTTTTTAATACCCCCCTCCCAGTCCTCTCTTGGGTGAATATTGCGGTCAATGGTCATGAATGTTCCATGGACATTAATCTTTCGAGATTGACTTTCTAGAGGTCACCGGCCGGTTCTCAATTTTTGTCATACCCGCTTCTTTCATTTCACCGGTGATGGTTCATGAGTATTATGGATTCGATGCCTCAGAGGGACACCAGTCGCGCTTTTAGGTCGTTGTCGGCCGAGCCGTATTGAATTTCTCAAGGCTGGATCTGGAGAGATTTTCGACAGTGGTGAACTACCACTACCATCATCCACTTGTTGCTTTCTGGATCCCCTTTCCCTGCTTCTTTTTCCTTCTGTTCCACTTCGGAATCTATCCCCCATGCATGCATGCATTCATGCACTCATGCATGTCTAGGGAGACGGCAGAACTGCTCGTTTCTCCTACTTGTGCAGGAGTGTGGCTCAGGAGCAATTTTTTTGTGGGACTTCTTTGAATAAAAGAAAGAGGCCGCTCGTATTCTCGTCCCGTATGTGTCGCACCACTTTCGATGTTGTACGATTACTCGACCCCATTCCCTGCGAAAATTGATGTCCTGACGCGTACGACCAAGATATCGGCTGAGTTAATTTTATGGCAAGATTCATGCCGAAACGGACTTTTTATGCCTAATTTTGAATTAGAACGTGCAATCGGCAACGGCGGTCGGACGAGGAAAGTTAATGGATATCTTCCGGTTCCCCACTGTGTAATGTGATCCCAGTTTGACGGGCTTGGCTCACTTGCGAATTGCGGAATGACTGTCTTAAGCAGGTCTTAAGTTTTTCAACGTGTAGTCGATGAGTGAAGTCATATTGTTGTTACTCCGGTGGAAAGCCGACATTTTCTTTGAAAAGATACGGGGGTGGACTAAATGAAACTGACTTTAGTCTAATGGAGCTATAAAAAAAAACTTCCTTAAGCGCCGCTATAAAAGGATTAAACCTCCTTTAACTCCGCTAAAGGAGGTTTAAAGCTCCATTAGGCTAAAGTCAGTTTCATGCAATCCACCCACGGACATTCCGAACCTCGGGAACCGTTGCTGCGTCACGTCCTTTGTGCAAGAGATGCGCAGAAAACGACGCAAAAACACGTATTCCCCTGGGGGGGGGGGGAAAGAAAGAAAATAGCTTTGTGGCTCAACGTATTTGACTCGGGTTGAAGTTGAGTAGGATCGGGAAAGAAAATATTTTTTATTTTTACTGTCGTGTAAGCTCAATTCAGACAGCGAATCGCCATCACCACCCATGAAAAGGGTTGATTCATCTCGCTCGATGCTCACGCACGTTTGGGAACTGTGACGTCGTTGCTTTACTCGATATCTCGAAAAATCGATTGAAATGTCGGTCACCATGACGTTGCATCGCTATCGCTCACGTGCTTCATAGTCGCCTTTGAATGAATTCCTCCGGACTTATTTCGGATTACCTTACCCCTCTGCACTTCACTTTCCCTCCAACACTTACACGTTTTTATCCCTTCATCACGTATTTCTTTATACGTGAAGAAAGGATCAAGTGGTTAACTTTTAAGAAGAAAATAAATCTCGATCGAGGTACGTAAGAGAAATGGTAAAACGAAATCCCTTTTTATCGAAAGATCCACTATCGAACCGGGACTTTTCTGCCTTCGTTACTCTCATACCGAGACTGCACGATCGATACAGGACTGGAGGTGATCTTGGAGGAACCCGAAGACGAAGAATCGGCATCTGACAACGACAGGGGAAAAGACCCGGGACCCACACCCTCCCCCCTTCACAACAGCGCTCTCAAAAACAACAGGGGGCATCGGAAGAGGATGGATTCGAACGAAGGGTCGTCGGAGGAGACGGGATCCACGACCAGCTCGTCGGGGATCCACTCCGAAGGTGGACCTTTTGTCCTTTGTCCGTCGCGAGTTCTCGTGGGAACGTGATTCGTACGTGGGATTTCGTCGCAGGGGTGGCGATTGTGAAGGAAGAGAAGGTGCAGAAGGATCGACTGGTGGAAGTGTATCACGAGACCATTCGACAGAGGAACGCTCCTTCCGTCCACAAGGTGCCCATTCTCATCGGATCTCTTTTTCCCACGAGATCTTCTCGGATCGTAGATGATCGAGCGTTCTCGGAAGACGGGGTCACATTGTGCCTCGATCATTCTTCTTCTCCTTCTCCTTGCATGACGCAGATGACTAGTAAAAGAAGACGCACTAACGTAATAGGAGATAAGACGTTGGCGGTGGGAACTCCTGGGTAGGGTGCTGCGGACGTGTCGGACTCGTATCTCGTTTCAGATTTTGTCACTCGTGCCCATATACGCCTAGCTTTCACTGATTTCACCGTTCTATATCAAAATATCCGAGTAGACTACTGCTCGGGGGTGACGTGCTCGATGATCATCGAGAGGAAGGGGAGATACGGTCCGGTGAATGGTTAAAATTTCGAGACCCCCATCTCCCTTTGTTACGGCTTTTTCCCTTCTCCCTCTCTCTCGTGTGCACTGTCCGATGCCTCTGCATGAGTGATGGAGCCTCTTCCCGTCCGTACCGACATGGGATCGGTGATTCCTTTCATCCTATTCTGTCGCTAAATGGTGAACTGCGAACGGTAGCCTACGGGACTTGCGCATCCCGAGAGTCATCACTAATGGGAGGGAGGAACGGGGGAAGATCGATCGAAGACTTGCCTCTCGTTTCAGCCAATTCCTTTTTCCTTTCCCCCCTGCAGCTGGACATCAAGAAGTTGGCTGAGGGTTCCCTCCCACTCCCAGATTCCAACAAGTTCCTTCCCTCCGTCAAGGCGCTGAGGAGCCAGTTCGAAGCCGGCTCTAAGGATCAAGGTCAAGTCCAAGTTCAAGGTCAAGGCCGAGCTCGGCCTGGTCCCGTTCGAAGATCGAAGCAACCCGCGCCCCAACCACAGCCGCTCATCAAGAAATCGCTTCCTCGTGAGTTTACTTATCACTTCTTCCTTTCACTCAATACACGTCGACCCTACGAGGTAATATGACTTGACGTCCAAAACTCTTCTGTACAAAACAGAAGAATCATCGAGGATAACGCCTCTTTGCTTAGGAAACAAGACTTTGGGAAGTAAAACCTGCCTGTGAAACATAATCTCCGGGTAGATTCATTCAATATACCAGCGGCGTATATATGCAGGATGTTTTTTTTTTATGGGGGGGGGGGGGCTATTATATGGTAAAAATTTATATAGCTGAGTGACAAGCGAGGGTAGAGGGGATAGACGAGAATTTCGGTGGCAGTCGCCTATTCTACTCACTAACACCAGCCCTGGAGGAGTCGAGGGACTCGAGCCCCCTGTATAAACCTCCACCGTCTTAGTATGAGAGTCATCTGGTCGTGAACCTGCCTAAAACAACAGAAACTCTTGCCAGCTTTTAATGCACGAAGTCACCATTGCATACAAAACTTCAACCTATATAATTTGTTCAAATTGGTTCATAGGAAGAGCCTGTTATACTCGTGCCAATACGAGCAGCTCAAACAGTGGAACCCCACACAAACAAGTAAATACTTTTTTACTCCTAAAAAGTCATTTTGATAGTTTCTTCATAAGAGTACCCTTTGAATTTTTAATTTAAATACCAGCTGTACTTTTTGGACCAGCAATTAAGGCCCTAAAAGTATTTGGTCACCTTCAGGGAATTTGATTGATTCATGTAATGGATACCAATAGGTATTTTTCTGCTGTCAGTCTTAGTAGTCTTGATAAGTACTTTGTAAATCTTTTCAATACTTGATGAGTAATTGAAATTTGCCAAAAAAAAAGCATTCTCCCAGAGTAAGGCAAGTTAAGCAATACTTCTCATTTTCAGTTGGTCTGTATCTTCAAACTTGAGAATGATTCCTCAGCCTTGTCTCTCTGGATTGTAGCAGATGGAACTTTGTGGACTTGTAGAACCTGGCATGAAGGATTACACTAATTTTGGAGTTTGCATGTACATGTGATACATGTTATAAGGTGGAAAGTTGCATTGGAAAGTGCCTATGGTGGTCACTCATTAATTTTTTAGTCTTGCCATGGTATGGTGGGTTGATGAGCAGCAAGACATTACAACTTCCTGAGATCCTTGTACAAATATCATTGCTCTCTCATAACATTTTCTGATAATGTACTTTTCTTTCAGTGCTGAAGCACTCTCAGAATGGAAAGTTTAGATATTGTTCATGCTAAAGCTTGAAAGGCAAGTCTAAAAAGTTTTAAACCTGGATGACAAGAGGCTAGTTGTCTGAGTTGGATATTTAATTGAATTTTCCATCCAGGAGGAGAGGCTTCAAGGTATAATATTAGATCAGGGGTGTCCAACTCAATTTGGCAGGGATCAAATTATTTGGTTCAAGTGTGTTTGGGGGCCTCACTTATGAATCTCATACCACATACACCACATTTTTAATGCAAACAAGTGAAATTTGCAGCAGTTTTCCGAAATCAACTGTTAAAGAGGAATTTGCAGGCAGAAGAAAATGAATTGGTCGGTCAGATCTGACCTGCAGGCCACCAGTTGGACACCCCTTTATTAGATCTTTCCATCCTGGACAAGTTGCTTCAGCATCTGTAAAGAACAGAATATTTTTATTAAAAAATTTGATAGTAGAGTGATGCCATTCGAATAGGAATCTCAGAAAGTTGTAAGGAGCAACATGTCATGTCACTAAGCTCATTGGTTATCATGAACATGATGTGGCAAGGCTTAATTGAGTGATCCCTTGTATCAAGCTTAATGCCACTATCATGCCTTATAATGATCAATGATCACAACTATGTGCTACATCCTGATACAGAGGATGATCACATGGAGGAGAGAGTGAGGAAGGAAGGAGAAAAAGCACCAAAGGTGAATGGGGTGAAGGTAGTTGAAGTAGAGGGACTCTCAAAAGTGAATGGAGTGAAGATAGAAGTGGGGAATGAAAATATGGAAGAAGTATTACCCCATTCCACATCCCACAGCTCTGGCTCAGGTTCATGCTCAGCCCTAGATGACACAAAGAGCATTATAGATGAACCCATAGAGCCCATCATCTCTCAATTCACTGAAAATGGAGAGGCCGGGAAAGAGAAAGTGCTTGCACGACCGACGACCATTTCCTGGGATCCTGTGAGTTTCACATAGCACCAGTGCATTGCTTTCATATCTTCTTTGAGAATTGTACTTGATATTTGGTTTCATGGTGATATCAGAGCAAGCTGTTGGGAAGCCTTTATGCTACCCCTATACCTCGGGGGAAGTCTCAGAATGGGTCCACATCTTCTGGTTCTTCCTACACCAACTTGGAGGGGTATCTGGAGAAATTGCCTTCTGGTCGAAGAAAGGCTACCTTTTGGAATGCTTGGAAGAAGCGCTACTTTAAGCTTCACAACGGCTATCTATCATACTACCAGGTTTATATATGCTTCTCTACAGGTTATGTAGGGCTCATTCTGTTCCTCTATACTGCATGCTTTAAAAATTCTTTTTTGCTAACAGATGGCTCAAGCAGAGAAGCCTAGCATGACTCTCCAGTTGATGGGTGGACGAGTGGACTCCGTTGATGACACCATGGTTGACGTTAAGGATGGAGTAAGTTAAACTATCTTTCTTCTTTTGGATCAATTTATTTTGAACCTACAGTGTATATCACTCAAAATTTTGAATTGTCTTCTTGTTACCCTAGAAGCCAATATTCTCCACTGTCCTGGGAGTGGATGATGGTGTAAGTTCTCATTCAACATTCTTCTGAAATTTTAGATCCGATTTTGTCCACATCTTGCTGATACCGTCTTGCACTAATTTAAATTTGTATGTACAGAAGGGGCATTTCTTGGTGCTACGCTGTCCATCCAAGAAAGAGACAGAGAGATGGCGGGATGCCTTCCTCAGTCACATCGTTGAAGATTTCTCTTCCACATATGTTCTTCCTGAGAACATTCCTAAAGAGCCAAGACTCTTTAAAAATACCATAGTTGTTGATCTAGGTAGCACCTCAACACGAGCAGGGATCCTTGCTCATCATCGTAAGTCTCTTTTTTCTTGCCTCCAGTCCTTCCATGACAAAATGTAGTTTTCATGGAGTTCTCAATGAAAAGCTTTGATTCAGAATAAGTTTATTTTTGCATAAGATAACCAGAGGGCCTTATTTTATCTGTAGCCACCTTGCCACAAGTGTTCCTCCCATCAGTAGTGTCTGGGACCAAAGTCAGTGGCATCAAGGCCTACCAACCACAAGCAAGGTCATCTAACTCTCTGTCTTTCCCCATCCGCCCCTCTTCTAAGATTAACAAGGTAGCCTGCTCATGCTTGTACCACTCTTGGTCACCCTAATCTCCATGGGCATAACTCCAATTCTTCCTATTCTGTATTCTGTTTCTTTCCAGTATTCCATGGACATGAAGGGTGTTGAAGCCATTTTGAGAGGAGCATTAGGGACTCTGGCTGTGGATCCCAAGAGATACGAGCTCCAGATTTCTGTACCTCGGAGCTTGAATTCCAAAGCCCAGGCACTGCTTCTCACTCTCTTGATAGACACTTTTGGTTTCTGTGCTGTGAATGTGACTCATCAGAGTGTCCTTGCCCTCTATGCATACAATGCTGAGTCAGGGATCGTGGTGGACATTGGGGAACGAATGGACATAGTTCCAATCACTCAAGGTTTGTACAAGTTATTACGGTTCCCTGTAAGGATAACATCATACAATTTTTACAAGAATGTCATTCCTGTTTTTTCCAGGATACATAGTTGAATGCGGTGTGAGTAGAATTCCATACGGAGGAGAGCAGATGCACGATCATCTGACTAAGTTCCTTCATCAGAAACATGTCTGGCTTAGTTCTGAAGTAGAGCGCCTAGTTGCTCGCTATGCTCTGGAGAATCTCTGCTATGTTGCATCTCATTATAACGCCGAACTAGCCCGTTTCCGCAAATGTCCGCACGAGTTTCAGCGGATCCTTGACCTCACCCCATATTTCCATGATGGAGCTCCTCCCTGGAAGTCAGTTTCTTCTTCAAATTCATTATTCAATCACAGTTACCAACATGATGCTTTTGATAATACAAAAATCTTTGTTCATGCAGAGAAGTGGTGTTGGACAGTGGAAGATTCCAGTCTCCAGAGGGACTATTCAACCCAGAGGCATGGGGAATGGACAACCCTGGTGTACATAAATGTGTGGCCAAGGCTGTCCACGAGGTTGGCATGGATCTCCGAAAGGAGATGGTCCGTAACATTGTGTTGGCTGGGGGTGTGACTCTCATCCCTGGCTTCCCTGAGCGTCTTACAATGGAGGTTGACAAACTCACTCCACCATCTCTCACACCAAAGGTACAGCACATTTTCATCATCCACACAATCTTTTACATAGGTACCATTCCACCATTACAACTATATGTTTGGTTTTAGGTTCATGCATCTCCTGACCGGTACCATGCATCTTATCTTGGAGCTACAGTACTTGCCAACAGTCCTGCTTTTGATCAGTCCAAAATTACACGAGAAGACTGGGCCAAATATGGCTCAGGGCTCTTGAAGAAGTGGAAACTCTAATTTTACCCCAGAAGTAAAGTGACTGTCATCTTCCGTCCTCTCCCTGCGACTGCTGCTGGTGCTGTGATAATGTGTCATTCCTTTTGAGGTCTTATTATTTATCAAAGTGAGGATCATAATTTTTTTCCTCTAACCAAGAGTGAGAGATGGGTTTCTGTCAACCAGTGTCTCTCTCTTGCCATTTTTCTTGGATAAATAATGTTTGAGTTTGATTGATAGTCTGCTATGAAGCTCTTTTAACACTAGTTTTATGGATGAAAAGTATGGAAATAAAATGGATTTTGTTAAAAGAAAAACAATGAAAAGGATTATTCTTCACTGGATGTTACGGTGATTCCCTCAGATTTCAGAGCTTCCAAAATGGGTTGAGTAACATCATCTGCGATGGGTCTGATGACTCCTCTTTCCTGGACCTTCCCTGCATGTTATGTGGATTACAAAAAAAAGTTTGCCTCATTGGGGATCAGATCAAATGATTCTAAAGTAGCTAGATGAATGTCACCTTCCAGGATAAGTCCAGATGCAATGGCAACAGAGATGCCAACTGTCTTGGCCATGGCTGTCCATTTGGAATCACCTTCAGCAATCAGATGGGATTGGAATTTCCTCCCTTTGCCTCTGGCTTCAATGTAAAGGACCACCATGTCCCTTTCTCCCTCTTCTGGGTTTGTAACATGATCCATGAACTAACCTGCTGAAAAACCAACAGTTTGTCATTGTCATTAAACAAACCATATGCCAAGTGGTTTTCAAGATGTGCAGCCAAAGTATCCAGTGCAGTGAGTCCAGGTACAACTGAGGCATCAGATGTGAGTCCCAGAGAATGAACCACCTCCAACTGATTGGAATCTCCAGAAAGCATTGTTAACAGATGTGATTCCAGAGCTTCCTGGGTTGTTTCAACTGGTAGGTCATGGAGGAGACACATGTATCTTCTCTGGAAAGAATGAGAGCCCAGTCAAATGAAGAAGGTAAATTTTACTGAATTGCAGGGAAGGTAGGGTAAAATGGCAAAACTATAGCACCAGATGTGTGAGTAAAGGGAGAGGGGGGGTATAATCAGAGGGGTGTTTTGAGTTGTCCCATGGTAATGTTTCTAACCAACCAAAGTACATACCAACATTTTCTTGGACACTCAACCTCTGAGGTGCAGGATTGCTTTGCTCACAAATCCCATAGAGCCCCATTAAAAGGAAATTATTCACTGACATTTCCAGAAGATACAAAAATTAGTTTCAAATAATCAAATCAAGAGATATCCAATAATATAATGAGGGCAAGGTCAGAATAGTATTTTGATAATGGCATTCATGACTAAAATTTTAACCCGCCATTCATGAAAATTTGTGGTTTTACCTCAAAATCCAAGATACCTTGCAATAAATATTAACAACTATAGAAAAATGCAATTTTAAACAACTCAATGCTAAAATTGTACACAAGTGACAACAATTAGAGCATTAAAAAATTTCTAAAATTTTGGTCAGCTGAATCATTGTTTGCAGAAAAAGAAAGACCCATAGCACTATTCTGATTCACTTGCAGCACCATTGTCACACCAAAACTTAGCTCAAATTTAATTAAATTATTCACTTGTAAACTTAAAACAATATGTGACATGACATACTGCAAAGCTGTGAAAACGCTACTGAAAACAGCTTAAAATTCAAAGAGGTTTGTCCACATGTGAGGACATAGAGACACAAAGAGTTAAAGTAATTTCTTGAACCGGTGAAGATAAAAATGAAATAGTGCAGGACCACCATTATGAACCCAGATGAAATGACAGTATAATATGATAAAAATCTGAAAACTCATATCTTTATATTTCAAGTGTTCACTCCCTTTAAATGCACAATCCTCGAAGTCAAGTCAACTACCCAAATGTAAGTTCAACTTAACCTTCAGGTGTTGGAATTTTGCCATTTCACCCTACCTATATACAGGATGGGCCAAAAAAAAACGTCAGTTATCTTTATTAATTCACAGCACTGGTCCCCAAAAGTTAGCTAAAATTGCAATAGCGCCTCTGTATAGAACATTCATTCAGCTTTCCAATGATGTCAACAGAATAAAGATTCATGACTTGACTTTCATGCAGTTAGAGAAAGAGTATAGGAGGTGGTGATGGAAAAGTCAGTGCCATGCTAGTGCATGCCAGAGGTTGCCTACTCGCCATAAGCGAAGGAATGGATGTCACCCAGAGCACATTTTGTTGGGGTACTGTTACGTGCACTTTTCAAGCACTACTTCTGTGGCACTGTGTGCAACTGCATCAGAATGACAAATTATAATCTTAAATCTTTTGACATCAATGGAAAGCTAGATAAATGTTCTATATAAATATGTTATGATGTTATTGCAATATTTTCAAACTCTTGAGAAACTACGCTGTAAAGCTAACCCAACCTAAGATAACCTAAGTTTTTTTTGGCCCACCCTGTATATCCACTTACCTACCCATGTGATTTGAGTAGAAATAATTTCTTTTGGTGTTGAGAGGTTGAAGAGCCCAATATGTTGGAGAGCCTTCATGCCCTTGGAAAAACCACAATATCTGAGAGTTCCCCTGATGAGGGTGCGGGTATCTGACGAAAGACCATATTCCTTTTTGTACACCAAGCTGTTTCTGTTTGGAAAAACTTCCAAATTCAGGCCAGCTAAGTGAAATGGCTCAGCATGATCCATAAGAGCCCCTCCTTCTGGCACTTCTATTATCTGTTGAGAGTGAATAACATTGAGATGATAACAGACCTAAGGAAAACACTGAATGAGTCAATCATAATACATCTCCATCACGCTGAAATGTAGCTGGGCGTCTTGTGTTGTATAAGGCAGCTTTTGGATTCCAGGAGAACTTGTACCTGAGATGATTCCCAGGTGCCAGAGATGAAACAGCAGGAATCCCACCACAGTATGAAATGAATTCCTCTACTTCACATCCTTCTTCTCTTGCTTTCATGATTGTCTTCAGTGCAAGGATGTGATCAAGACCAGGGTCCAGTCCCACCTCATTCATAATCACAAGCTTCTTTGCTTTTGCCCTATTGAGCAAAGTACATGAACCCATGCTAGCACCGTTGAGGATTTACCTCATCTCTAATTGAACAATAAATATGTAATGCCTCATGGTGACTCACAGATGGTCCAAGGCTTTTATGTCTGGTTCCATGTAGCTAGCAGAGATAAAGTGTTTGGCTTCATCTATGCACATCTTGGCAATGCCAGCTGTAAAATCATTTGGTAGGAGGCAAACACACAAACTGCTCTCCTTGATGTTTTCCCTGATGGCTTGTTGATCCCTCAATACATCCACTATCTCAGTTATGACTGAGGAGCCAGGGAACTTGATCCGTATGCTGGCTAATTCTTTCTCTGTGGAACTCACTGCACAGAGAGAGAACCTATATATGGCTTACAGTTCAAATGCTGCTTAACCCTTTCCCCATCCAACTTTCCTGTCAGGACTATGTAGGATGTAAGTTGGGCATGTGCCAGGGAAAGGAGCACTCACTTGAATGTTACGAACAGATACATAATGCTCCCAATAATGGAGCTCCGTTCCAGTCATATTCTAAAATCCAAAGGGAATTGGATCAAATGCAAGCATAACATGCATAATATGGTAGTCTCTTGCACATGCATTTTTTTTTTACAAGACAACTTCTGAGAGGGGACGCTTCCTTTTCATACTCAATATTTGAGAATACAGGACATGGAGCTGGCTGAGCAAAATGCATGGTAGAATGAAACTGGGCCCCAGTCAGATCAGCATAGAGAAGACATGCTATAAGGGTATGGTCCTGCTTTTGTATCAGTGATAACTGGAACGATGGTACATGGCGAGTAGTGCAGCCTCCTAGTCCCCCTGGACGAGTCTACAAATGGATATGAAATGTTGATTGTGGCTTCAGGTGCACTCGTGTTGGTGACACGGTGATCCAGTTAAAAATTCCAGCTACTATCCAGCTGGTATTCATAGCTGGTACCCATTGGTTCCAGCTGGGAGTAGATGTTTAACTTTTCAGCAGAATTCCACTTGGTTATTTGATGGCTTCAGATGGATGTGAATATCTCATTTGTCGGGGCCCTTATGCTTTACGTGATACACACTCTGTGCACCAGATCTAATATTTCAATACTGTTACTTTGCATGAGAGGAATAAAGGATAAAACTTACTATGAAAAAATCCATGTTTTAAATAAAGTCCTCATTAAATAAACACCCACGGAAAAAAAAGAGAAAACCATTCCTGCAAACTGCTGGTAAAGTGCGTAAAAACACCTTAATGAGCTTTTCCGATATTTTTGCCGTTTGTTTAGCAAAGGAGTAGATTAAAGTGTGAAAACCATCGCCTGCAGTTATCTTACTAGATAGCAACATGTCGCAGTAAGAAGCATCTCCAATAGGATAACATATAAGCATGAACTTCACTAAGTGGTTATTCATTTCTGATGAATACGGCTACTGCGGAGACCGGCACAATGAAGTTCATTCGGTCCGTGCATGTCATATCTGTAATGGATGGCTCCCAAACAGGCGCTTCTGTTTTTTACTATTGTTCGTATGAATATTGTGCCAATAATTAACTTCTCTGCTAGCTCAAATGCGCTTAGCCTCTCAAGTGGGGAGTTTTCATTCCACTGGTTTGCCTCTGATTGGAAATTTTCCCGTAAAATAGACTGATTTTGTATTTCATTTTGTTTTTCTTCTTTTATTTGAAAGATTTTTCAATAAGCTCACTCGTCATACCCAGTAAATGTACGCGGGAGATTTCTCGCGATGGAAATATCTGTCAAACCCCTTTGTGGGAAATTTTTCTATGACGAATGAATCCGTCATTCCCAGGTTAGAGGTTAACAAACTTGACAGATCCTCCATTGGAGTCAGTCTTCACAAATGAGCCGAAAGTGCAGCCCCATGCAGACGCACTCGTCTTGGGATTGTAAAGGTCAGACTACGTCGGTTCTGCATTTCGAAATGGTTCTGCTTCAGAAGCCCTTCAATCACTCAGCGAAGGACATCCGCGAATATTTTATAAGTTTTAGAAGTCAAATATCGAAATAAGAAATTGAAATGCGACAAGGGAAGTTGAAACGCGTTGCTGTGTTGGATGACGGACTGAGATGTGATATGCTGGATAAAGGAACGTTCCACTTAAAGGAAGTCGAATGCGACAGCCGTGTATCACGCCCTTGCCAAACGACAGGCGTTCCATTTTGCACAGATCCATGTGCAAATGCATTAATCCAAATGTAAATTTCACGTCAATGCCGGATTAATCTTATTGGCAACCATTGACGTCCGATCAACAAGAATTACCATTATAAATTGCAAATAAAGGTTTTCCTAACCCAATAACGATGTGTGAGGGTCATGTGCAACGCGTAAGTCAAAATTTGACGCTGCTCCGCATGACCATCAAAAGTTATACGAGGAAAACCAGATGAGGCAAGCCTGTCGGATGCTGGACTCTCAAGATATGCACATCTGATATGAGGAAAGCCAAACGTGACAACCCCATGTCATGGCTTAACCGCTTACATCGTGTCACTCTATTCCAGACATGTCAAGATGTCTCGTACAAAACGTCCACTTTCCAAGTGGATCGGGAAGCAAGTGAATGCTTCTTTAGTGTCAATGCACCTGTTGAAATGATGTCCACCTTGTTCAATATACACCCGGGGGGGGATTCCTCCACCGGTTTCCAAATCCACCTCCTATCGACATTGTTCAGCCAGGTGGATGCCAACGTTTTCCAAGGTGGTTAATTGTGCATGTAGGAACTATTAATTATATTTTCAATGGGTGATAATGTAGTGACAGTGACGAAGGAGTAGTGAGTAATGTCCCAACTTTCTAAAAATGGACATGCGATACTAGTGAAGGGCCATCCCCAATTCAGTCACTTCATTCCTATTGAAAATCAGCTCTAAACTATTCGCTAGCAACTCTTTTACCCTTCTCCCCCGTAATTCTTGAAGCAATCTAATATCCTAATGAAGTGTTTAAATTTCCATCTTCCACATTACTGTCTCATATCCGCATTTTGATGTAGAAAGCCAATATGTTGCCCTTTTTAGGGAGAGCCCCAAAACCTTCCTATCCCTTTTTTCTCATTTGGAATCTAACCTCCCACCCAAAAGCAGTCGGTGGTAGCATATTCCTTGGAGTAACCCTGACATAGCTGCCAAATAAGATCACTTGCAATAGGAGCATCATATACAAATGCACTTGCAGCCACGCGTCGAGAAAATGGAACGAGGAGGCATTCCCCTGGCACGAGTATGGTAAACTGTGTGTACCTGTCGCATTTGAATGCATTATTTCTACATTTGACCTAGAAAATTATTAATTAAGAATCAAGCCAGATCAGGAGCACGTGGGATGGGTGCAAATAGACACGAAGAGATTGCGCATTCCAAAGGCCATCATAACTCGCGGGAGTGGAGGATTCTATCACGGCCGTACACACCCCTGGGCGTTCTCTCTGAACCGACTCCCTCGGGGTGTAACGACCTCGGGGCTAACTTTCACCTACTCGCCCTTTCACTTCATGAGTGTCTCAGTTTTAACTCTAGTCAGCCTCCAACCCCTTCACCGGCAGGTTTTCCGACGACATAGTACCCCTCACCGGCAAGTTTTATTCGCGCGCCCTTAAGTTAAGCGTCGACATCCAAAGTTAAGGGTGGATTTTTGAACAGAGCACTACCCGATAATGCAGCTTTATTTCAGAGATAATGCATTATAAATCCGGTAAATAAAGCTGCATTATCCGATAGTGCTCTGTTCAAAAATCCACCTTAACTATCGATATCTATACGCCAAAATGTACACTGAAAAACGGGGAGTCACCATTCATAGAACGAGACAAACATTGGCGAGAGTTTAAACTATTTCCCACAAGACTACACCAACCCGATAAATTCTCGGGTTTGTCTGTTAATGAGTTAAAACAACTCGTAACTCGTTCGGAGTTACACGAAGGAAGCAAAATACCCATCGGGGAATCCCCGAGTGAGAGGGGAGAGATGTGCAGTAATATCTTACTTCTAGAGAAGGGGTCGTACGGAGCGGAACTGGATGGGTAGGGTTTCTCTCTTTTGACAGTTCCAACAGTTCCCAGGAATTTCCACTGAAGATGAGAAAATTACCCGTAGATGTGTGATAGGAAAAATGGAGTTGATTAGGATGGTCGAAGTTTGGTTTCGTGGATATGGATTAGCGCATGTATTTCCTCTTTTATCCTTGCACTCGTTTTTTCCCGCCGATTTCTGCGATTCGGAATGGGAATGGCTTCGCAATCTCGGAATGGAGAAAAGACAAAGGGGAGTGCCAATCTTTACGGGTAAAAGAGAGCGGATGATCGCGCGATGGAGGCAAGGCGAAAAGGGAATTTAAAATGAGCGCAAAAATGTATATATTCGATACTTATTATTAAAAAGTCCATGGAAAAGATGTGGAGAAAAGTTTCCAAGATCCTCGGCGTAGTAAGCCTTCAAGGGAATGGTACTGTAGTGCCTGAAGGAATAAGAACAAAGAGAGAGAGAGAGAGAGAGAGAGAGAGAAAAAGTAGGTTGCCCGATTCCATTTCTTCCTTCCTAACCGGTATTCCGCCCCTCTTGTCCACTTCACTGCCTTCAGTCATGCGTCCTATCGAGCTCGCGTCGAATTGGACTCTGGTTCTCTCCAGCTCACTACTTCGCGATCGATCGTAGTTGAATCCATCGGCAGCCCCAATAACTCTGATCAAGAAAGAAAAACCTTCCAGGCCAGCAAAAAGGAAAATTATTTGGCCATGGCACAAGTACTTTTTTTTTCTCCAAGGTCTGTAATAATAAGGTTTCAAATGATGCACAATAATTTTCTTTCACTTAGGAATTTCCCTAATTAAAAAATGACACGAGGAACACGAAAGTAAATTTACGGGTTTGTGTTCTTCAAAATGCATCCATTGGTGAATGGCTGAAATAGGTATGCCTTGATCTGATATTCCGACAATGTGAAAGCCATTGTTCCCATTGCAGATGTACAGGGTGGGCCAAAAAAAAGGTAACTGAAACTACAATATAATTAAGGATGACTTTATTTATTTATACAAAAATTTGAACTGTATTTGACCTGATCCATAGCTTCAAAAATAGTGTTTGACAATCCATACATGCTCCTCAACAGAATATTGAGGCATTATAATTATCCAAATGTTGCGCTGAAATGAAAAAAATATACTAATTTTCTGTGATCTTTTTTTTTTTTGGCCTACCCTGTACAAAGATTCTAAGAGAAGAAATGCAGGGATAATGACAAAATGTTTTTTGTAAGATGGCTACCTAGTGACATGCCTTGGGAAGAGCATGCTCAACATGAAGAATGCTGGCCTGAGGCACAGGCCCCATTGCTTGGAGGTTGTTTCTGTCCCCTTACTGTGTGAAATACTGAATTTTACCTTGTAGTAATAGAAAGACTGATTTAATGTTCACTTTGCTTCCCTTGTTAGATATGTCTGAAAGATGAAGTCTCTATGCCAGCAGAAAAACAGAGAAATGTGGAGGATTTTGCCATCTATGTTTGTCAAAAAAGCAGCTTGCCGCATTGTGGGTGCTGGGACTCTGGTACAATATTCCATTTCAGGATGATGAAGCCCAACTTCCAGCAAGGCACCCAAACCAAAAATATCTCTACCATCCATCATCATTACACATCAGCAAATTTACATATTAGAGTCATGTGAGAAATAAGTCTATCATGAACACAGCCATTAGTCATGTTAGATGCATATCAATGATGACTCCAGTGGAGTTACCCTGAGATGACAAGAACAACTGAGAAAGAATGTAAGCAGAGTGAACCATTGGATTTCTGAAAAAATAAGAGACTTGGGATGGACTCTGACAGTCATGACACTTGCAGGCTCAATTATTTTCTTGCCTCACATATAATTATTTATTTCAATCATTTTACACTACCAAAGTGATGTAAAAAATTCTCCTATGTACTTTGTATTTTCTTTTATTGGAATGTCTTTCATGTAACTTCTCATTTGTGATTGTCTATTAAAGGCCACTTTTTATACTCTGGAACCTCAGAACTTTGGAAACTAGGCATTTACTTCAACTGAGATTAAAAGTACCAATTCCCTTCCAACTGGATTCCATTTTCCATTAATATTTAAAACACCAATGAACTACAAATATTGAGTTCTATTATATAGTCATTCCAGTTAGATTCATCTTATTACATTCACATAGCAGCTGATCCCACCAGCCTATTCCATACCAATACTAGGTGGATCCACCTCTCAAGTCCATCTTCGTACCAGCTGGAACCATGTTCCATTTCATAGTTGGGCTAGCTTGTTTTTAGGTGGTATTTGGGTGGTAACTGGTTCTGGCAGGAATTTTGATCAGGGGTACGTTAATTGTATGAAGGATATAAGAACGATGGACTCCTTGTGTTCACTAGAGAAAAACGAATTCATTGGCCCCTGAAGCGAGAAGCATTTCCCAAGATTGTAGAAATGACATGGAAAAGTGGCAGTAGTTATGCACACACGAAGCTGCTTACGGATGCGGAGTTGGTAGCCCTTCCTATGCAAATGCTCGATGACAGGACCCGACATCCTACCCGATCCAAGGATCAATACAGTATGCATTCTCGGCAACTTCACGTTTCTGCTTCCTCCTATGAAATCTGCAGGCAAGAGCGCATATTGACCAATAAGCTCTAATCACCCCTTTGACACGTGCAACAGGTCACATGGTTCTGACCTCACCACATGGCCCAGTCCTCTGTCCACAGATGCTGACGGCCTTTATCATTGCTGTCTTGTAGAACCAATAGGTAGTTTAAGACGTTACATCATTTTCAGATTATCATATTTAATAGATTTTTTAAATATTGAAATGAACAGCTTCACATGAAAATGTAAAGTAAGTGAAGAAGCCTGAAAAGAAGAGGGAAACACTTTTGGATTCGGCAGTCACAACCCAGGCTACCCATGCCGGTTTTCAGGTGCGCACTTAGTAGTGCGCCTGTGCTTTCGTCAGCATGTAGGTTGAGTCAGCCACGCGACTCGAGAGGAAAATTAGTGCGAACAAGTTACCATCATATCATATGCCACTTTAACTTCGTAACCGATTTTGTATTCGGATTGATATCGTACGATTTCGATTTTCTTTCAAACCTGAATGAAACGGGTTCGTATATTTTCGAAAGCAACTGACTTTCCCGAAGTGTAACCCAGGAAGACCGGCACGGGTCGGTCCAACCTGCAAGCCTGTGCTGCAATGGATATTGATTTGGTCTGATAACGGTTGGAGGTATGTCAAATGTCCTCGCCCACTATCCGACTTGAAGGCTTCTTAATTTTCATGCCATCATAGAATGTGCATCTGGATCTTGTTTGCCTACCATAGGAAGGGTGCCAGGATGGCAGGAGAGGCATGTGAAGAGTAGAACGAAGTGTGCACAGAGAGACCTGGTAGGTCAATAACAAGTATATGCAAACAGTCAGTGTCTGGAGGAGCACTGGTCGTTTTTGAAGAAGTCTTATTCTCAGAATGTGTATGAATGGAGCTGAAAAAATTTAGAGTTAATATAATTAATCAATGAGAACTATTGATTGGCAAAATTCAATTTTATGAACCTAGGCACTCCAAGAAACTCAAGAAAAAGTAATGAGAGTGTAAGAAATTCTGACAGTGAATGGCAACTGTTTTTCAACATGATTGCTACCATTTTTTATGTCAGTACTTCAGCTAGACTTATTGAAATGCTTGGTAGGCTCATTCAAGCAGGCAATCTTCAATGAACTCTCCTAGTGATCTTGAGTCAGTCACTTCGCAGTAATCTAATCAATAAATATACTTTTTAAGCTTAATTTGTGTACTTCTCGTATATGAGATTTGTTCAGTTGAACTTTGTCAGAAAAACTTTCTCCAAGTAGGAGGAATTTTTCTGACAAAGTATTTTTAAATATACCTTATATCCTTAGAAAAACTAGTCTTTCCTTATTTGCTTCCCATATCTACCCATTTTTTTAGAAGCTATTGATATACTAATATCTAGCCAAGGGCTTCTAAAAAAAATTTTCATTGTGTTTGAGTAAGAAGAAATTAATTTAATCTGACCTGTTTTTCAAAGCCTTTTTTTTTATTGAGTAATTAAATATCTGGATACCCTTGCCTGGGATCTTGGTTGCCCAAATTACAAAACACAGCTAAATGTGCATACCATTGCTTCTCCAACACTGGGTCATTGCTCCAGAACTTGTCTTGAGGTTATATTGATACCTCTTTAAGTTGTGATCCTAGTGAAGGGGGTTGTTGGATGGGCTGTGACAATTTTTAGCTGGTAGGATTGACTTCATAAGCCTATCATCCTGCCAAGTTTAAGTCTTGATCTGGGTGTGGAAACTTTAAAATGGTGGCTTGTGAGAAAAATTTGGGCCATAGCAAACTTGAAATGAGGTTGTGGGGGTTAGGTTGAAACTCCTGACAAGGGGGGGGGGAGAGAATCTCAAAGTGTGTGTCTCAAAGAAAAATGTGAGTTTATTTTTTCACATCTTCTCCAAACACCATGTGAGGCATGTTTTATTTTTGCAAAGGACATCTCAAATTAATGGAGAATTTGACATTTGGTCTTCTGAAAAGCATAAATTCAATTATCAATAAACAACCCAAAAATTCATCAACATTGTAACACAAGATGGAAAATATGAAAAATCAATCAATTTCTTCACTGAGTCTGCCTACTGCCTGCAATCAGTTGAAGCATGCAAGTGACATACTTGGCTAGGGGCATTGTGTAGATTGCTTATTCGCTGTCATTTTTGATACTTCACATTTGAAAAATCCATATATTTACACTGTTTCTAGATTGAATTTGTATTACTCCCTATAGTGGAGAATGATGAAAATGCAACTTACCAGTGGTTCGTTCTGCTTCAGCTTGTGATCCACCTATGGGTAAGATGTCACTACCTGCTGTTGATGGAAGTACTCCTATAAAGTGGTAGAAATTCAATCTGGAAACAGTGTAAATCCCTGGACTAAACCTTTTTAAATGTCATCAAAATATTTCATTCTTATTTGAGATGTGATGTTCAGAAAAACCACAAGGTTCACATGATAACAAATGGAGAAAGTTGAATAGATGAACTGGCATCCTTTTTTTTTAAATTGTTTAGGAGCAGACTCACAACAAGGGAGTTGCAGAAAAAGTTGAGCCTCAAATTTTTACATTCTGGCTACCAACAGCCTATGGGTATCATTATGCACATCCCTAGTTGAAGGTTACCCTATTATTAGGCTAGGTAAACATTCATGCAAAAAAGTGATCCTCCATCTCATAGGCCTAACATACTTGATTTCTCCTTTCTTTTGAGCTGTCATAATGAATTTTTTTCCCATTTGTAGGATTGTTTTGAAACAAGGATTGATACCCTTCTCTCACGAAAATTGTCTCAATAGTTTGAAGGAAAGATGGTGTTGGAATTGGATCAATTTCGGTCTGACAAGGGAGGTGACCCTGAAAAGATCAGGGAGAATCAGAGAAAGAGATATGCCAAAGTTGACTTGGTAGATGCTGTTGTTGTTGAAGATAATGAGTGGAGGAAATGTAAGTCTTGATAGTCTCCCTCCCTCATAGAATTGGTGTGGTTATTTGCCTTTTGTACCTTCTCACTCCCATTAAAGGGCAGCTCTGGAATGATTGATACAAACCGTTGTAAAACTATTTTTCCCCCAAAATACCTTGGACTTAACTTTTTTGTTATGAGTATACTCTAGTGCTTTTATAAGGTTTGTCACATATTTTTGCCAAGTTGATCAAACAGTTTTTCTAAAAAAAATTTCTGACAATTTTCAAATGAAAAGTAGGTCATAATTTTGCCCATGTACCCCCAATACCAAACTCTATATGCATGAGGGAAATGGCATCTGTGTGTAAAAAAAAAATAGACATTACAGAACCAGTTCTGAAACTTTTTGATCACACCTTGTGCTTCTCTTGGTAATGGTTTCTTTTTAATTGCTTGGTAGTTTCTTTCTCAGATCTTTTAAATTTATAATTTTAAATTGAGGTTGAGAGCCAAGAAACATGTGTATCTGGACTGGAGATGCCATGTTCCATTTCATATTCTAACTCTCATAACTCTCAATTGTGTGGATGTCAATTTTCCAGCCCTCTCCTTGATATGAACAAAACAATTAGTCCCAGCACAAACTTCAAAGAACCAATATAGGAAAGTCCAATTTAATCCAAACCGACTTAGTAGTTCTTGTTAACATGGTCACATTCTCTGGACCACAGAGCCACTGTCATCTAGTAAATCTTGGCTTTCAAGTACTAGAGATGAAGTAGAAAAGCTCTGGGAGAATGATTTTTTTTCTGTCTCAGATTCATATTCCTGAAGAAAAAAAAGAAGTATTTATGGTCTCTTTCCCTTTATTGCCCCCAAACCCTGGGAGCAAAAAAAAAACCCCCATGTCTCTCTTTGAAGAATCAAGGTGGAGGGGGAAAATCTTACACAATGTTGGTGTAATGCCTTTGTTCTTTTCATAGATGAATTCTGTCCCAAGTCTGTCTTTCCCAAGGGACCTACAAAAGCAGATCCCAGATTCCCCCCTCTACTGAATGGCAATTGGTATATTTGAAGAAGGGAAAGCAGCCATTCTGGCAGAGATTGAACGAATTTCTTGCAATTACCCACATGGAGGTGTAATTTTAACATTCATTCTTTGACTGGAAAGTATTTTTTTTAATTACTCAATTTACTTTATTTTTCCTTTAAAAAAAATAGTGGTAAATTTAAAAGTTATTTTTCTTTACAAATATAATACCAAATGAGTTTTTTGTGTGCAAGGTCTGATCAATCCAAATGGTATGTTTTGTTCACTTATTTTGTGTAATTCTGTTTAAGTAATGTTAATATTGGTGGTAGCCATAACCATGAACAAATATTTAATGTTAGTAGCAATTCTGTTTTGAATAAGTGATGCTCTAAATTTCCTGAAACCATTTTTATTTTGAGCAGCAAGAAATGGCATTTGATATGAAGAAAGGTGACCCTCTTTGCTTTTATTCATGAAGGACTGGCAGTTCTAGGTAAAATCAAATCATGCAGAATTTTGGAGATAAGGGAGTCAATGTTACTGTCCAAGTTCTGATATGTCAGCAATGTAGCATAAATAGCTTTAATTTACTTCACCCATGATAGAAAATAAACATTTTTGGCTGCAATTGCCATAGAAATAAGGCAATGATGAAGTTTCTGTTCTCAGCTGTCTGTAAGATATGGGGTCTAATTTGTTGTTACTTGGAGTCTGGTAACTTTGGAACTTCTGGTGGAACAGTAACTTAGGAACTGTCTGACAATCACAATCTCTTCATTTATAGTGAGGCACAAGGCTGACAATCTGAACAAACTGAAGAACTTGTGCAGCAAGGAAATTGGAGAAAAGATGAAGGTAAGATTCAACGTGAGTTCAATTTTCATTCAGCTTTAGGGGTCATCCTACTAGTGATCCCATACTTGTCTTGCAGAAGAAGGAACCACATGGTGATGAAGGCGAACCAGTACCAGAATCTCTAATTGCATCCCTTGAAAATATTACTTCTGAGCAGTTGAAAAGTCTCAGTGTGAATCAGATCAAGAAAGTGCGACTTATGATAGATTCAGAGATGGATCATAATACTCAAGCCCTTGCTGTAGCAGAAGCTAGTAGAAATTCTGCACTTCGTGAAATTGGAAACATCCTTGACCCATCTGTTCCAATTAGTAATGATGAAGTGAGTGATTTCTGGCATTGACATTTCATTTAAGGCCTTGAGAATCAATTCTTTGTTGCTGTTCTCCCAGGAAAATAATAGGGTGGAGAAGAAGTGGGGAAATGTAGAGATGGAAAAGAAGTACTCCCATGTAGACCTTATTCACATGATAGATGGAATGGATGGAGAAAGAGGAAGTGTAACTGCAGGTGGCAGGGGCTACTATCTCTTGGTATGTTTGACTCCCTCTCCCCTTTAGTCCCTCCTCAATGAATCCAAATCTTAATGAGGTTACTTCAGATCAATTCACACCTACATGTACTTTCTATGCATAAGGCCTAGATAAGGGCATAAGAATGTAATTTTCAAGCCACCCAGAACTAAGTATTTTTATTTCCATTCTCGGCATGCATCCTTGATATTCTTTGTGCACTGTGTTTCCATTTCAGCTTTCAACATCATATTCTTATATGTTGTTGAAACACTTAAATTTTGGTGTCGCAAGTGCAGAGAGGGTTTTCACTGGAAGTATTATTGCATAAAAGGCCTCCTTACATCATTAGCTTTTGGCTTCCCTTATTTTCCACCCTGAAATTCTTGTCCACAATAGTATATGGATAAACCTAAAGAGAAATAAGACTTTCACTAACTTTTATCTGCATGTATACAAAGATTTGATCTCATTTTGGAAGTTATCTCTTCTAGTTTCATGTGAGTATTATTTGCTGTTTTCATAGTTATCCATGATTTTATGTGAACATTTCATATTGTTCTTTTTTCTACAATTTCAACAGTAAGTGATTGGGCCGGTCTTTCTCCACAGGGTCCAGCTGTGTTTCTGGAGCAAGCCATCGTCCAGTTAGCCCTTCAGTTGTTGCATACAAAGTCATACAAACCTATCTACACTCCATTTTTCATGAGGAAGGAGGTCATGCAGGAAGTAGCCCAGCTCTCACAATTTGATGAAGAACTTTACAAGGTATGACCTGTTACAAGTACCAGTTTTTTGGTTGTGCATTGAAATGCATTGTGATTCAGTTTTCTCCTGCTTCTTTTATGAAATTTTTACTTCTTTTTTTTTTTTTTTTTTTTTTTTTTTTTTTTTNNTGGTTTTTTTATGAAATTTTTTCTTTTTTTTTTTTTTTTTTTTTTTTTTTTTACCAGAGTAAGACACAATGCCAATGAATGTTTGACCCATTAGCATTCAGTGATATACTAGTATTCTGTTGGAAATAGATGGGTTGGTCTTTATTGTAATTTCTTACAATTTTATGAAAAGTTACCTTGTGTAACCCATCCATTTCCAGTGGCATACTAGTATGTCATCAATGAATTGACCATTTTAAATGACTTATGTCATATTTCAACTGGTAAATGATAGGATGTGAATAGATTAAAAAATTTCTCATTGAAGCCCAAGTGTATAGTGTATTAAATACCTGTGCTTTTTTTTTTGCTCTGTGTTGTTTGAAATCATTTCTTTACATACCATATTTTGAGTCCTCTTGAACTTCAATCCAGGTCACAGGGAAGAGTTCTGAGAAAGGAGAAGGGGATGCCATTGTAGGATCTGAGGAGAAATATCTGATTGCAACATCCGAACAGCCAATTGCTGCATTCCATCGAGATGAATGGATCCCAGAGGCAGCTCTTCCAATCCGATATGCAGGGATATCTACCTGCTTCCGACAGGAAGTTGGCTCTCATGGCCGAGACACACGTGGGATCTTTCGAGTCCATCAATTTGAAAAGGTCCCAAACTATTTAAATTTTCACATGGTTCCTCAATATTGGCTCCAAAACCTTTTGACTGTCCTGATTGCAGATATACCCAAGTTCCTTCCTTCGTCTGGGTGAGTGGGTGGGTGCTACAAATAAAATTTCATTGGATGATAAAACTCAGACAAGTTTTCTTAGATGGCACAAGTTCTGCTAACAGGAGATGCTGCTTGAAACACATCCTGTGCTTAAGCATAGGTACAAATTTTGGAAGGAGTAGTAAAAGTAGCCTATATTTTTGGCAGAGCATAAGATCAGATATGATTTCCTTGTCAACAAGTTGACTAAGATCAAATTATTACATCAGTGCACTTATGCCATGTTGTCTCCCTTTCTTGACATCAACCTTGTGGACTCCATGTAGGCAAAGCTCAATCCATCCTTAGAATGTATGAAGCCCAACCTCATCTCCATGGTCCATGGCTGCTAAAAAATAGGCAGATATGAAACCCCTGCAATTCCTCATGGAACTTTTGTATTATTTTGCCATTTAATTCATTACTCATGTAACCTATTTCCTTATTCATCCATTATTAGTTGTATTTGTGGGTGAAAAGACTGCCAAAAAGTGCTGGGGCCATTTCATCTTCAGATCTGAGCACTACCGTGCAGTAATGTTCTCCAGGTGGAGCAGTTCTGTCTAACATCACCACATGATGGTCTGTCATGGAAGATGATGGATGAGATGCTAGGGAATGCAGAAGAGTTCTGTCAAGCTCTGGAACTTCCGTATCGGATTGTGAACATCGTCTCAGGAGAGCTCAACAATGCAGCTGCCAAGAAATGTGACATAGAAGCCTGGTTCCCTGGATCTCGTATGTCAAGAGCAGTCTGATTCATTCATTCTTGGTAGCTCCAAGTCAGGAGGGTTTGCACTTTTGGGTGGGAGAGGATAATGTGACATTAATTGCCAGCTGGAACTGATGGAGATGTTCTATGACAATTCCTCATGAATTAGTTGTGCAAAAGACCTTTGCAAACTCTTTAATTTGTTACTTCCCACCATACTACTCCAACCAGTCACCCATAAATTAGGGCTTAAACTACATTATCAAATTGACCACTTGACAAATACTCACATAAAAAACTGCTTTATGTGGACATTACTTTCAATTTTGACTCCTGTTGGGCTACTATCATGATGTTTGAAAGAGGCCACTCTGAAGTAGCTATCCTCATATGTCTCAGTGATCATATGCTCTAGACCAGTGATGCACAACTTGTGGGCCGTGGGCCACATGCGGCCCACAGAAACCTTTTTTTGTGGCCCCTTGGATGCCTCTGATCTCTAAAGATTCATATTTATATTTGGCTCATGTTCAAGGGCTGCAGATCCTGGGGAAAAGGTTGTGCACCACTGCTTTAGGCCATTTTGAAGACTTGTAAGTTTGATTCCTTAGGGTCTATGAGCAAATCTTGGATTGTGAAGGACATGCCAACTCATATAGTCTTGAGACTTCCTTGGCCTTATGATTTGCCTTCAAAAAATGCATTTACTGATGTAGATATCAGTCAGCATGGTGTGATCATAAAATTGAAAACTTATCTACATGGCATGGCATATTTGAACTCAGCAAGTGCTTAGAGAGCAAAATTGACAAGTGCTTTCTGTTCCCTTCATGTAGGTATGGAACTTATGGAGAATTTGAGACCCATGTGTCTATTACACCTCAGGCAAAGGAGAGACTATTGTACTCCTTGCCTTGTTCAGCAGAGTTACATTTCCATGAATGTTTTTTTATTATTAAGGAACTCTCATCTGAAGGTTGTGACATTTATTCCCCTTTCAAAATCAAGGCATTAAACTATCATAGGATTCACTTTGTATGGTTCCATAAGCCCAGTAAATACAACATAGTCACTATTTCATAGTGCTCAGAAGTCGTTCATTTAGTCTTGCTGAATTGTCAATTCAGTAGTATTGCAGCCTTTCTTAACCCTTTCCATGCCATGGTGTTCACCATAAGTTTTTCAGACCTGGAATACTTAGTACATAGTTAGAAGTGGAATTCATTTATTGGTGCATGGGAAAAAAAAAAAACAAGCCACATTCAGTTATCTTTGAGAGCTCCAGAGATATAAGCATTTTACAGAGCATGTAAAATCTGCAGTGTAGGAAACAGTTCTGGCAGCAATGAACTCATGCACTACAAAAAGTTTTGGCATGGAAAGGGTTAAACTGTTTGTATGTGGTTTTAGCCCATGTGCACTTATGGTACTAACTACATGAGTACACTTGACTTTATTATGTAGGGTCTTGCCAAACATCAGGGTTTATGCAGTAGAGGTGGTAATTAGAATTTTAGTTTGAGAGACTCATCATTGGAAAAAGTAATGACCTGAGTGGTCAGTTTCAGACATGCATGGCAACTTAAGTTGACCCATATGGGGCATTTAAAAAACTCTAGACTTTTTCCTCAGTCTTCAGTTTCTCTTCGAGCTGAGTCAATTTTCTGATTGAGATGTTGGAGTCTGGGTGAGCATTTCCAATTATTTTCATCCATACATTCATTCACAAGGCCCCTGTCCTGAAGCAGGGAATCCATCCAGACATTGTACAATCTGTGGTAGTCATGGCCACCAATTATTTGTCTAATTAAAGTTAATAGACATGCAAAAAAGTATTGAAATTAGAGGTTTATATGGATGTTGGATAAGGTTATGAATGTTTACATGTGAAAAGAACCTAGAAAAACTGCCAGAATATAATTTGGGACTACACGAGTTAACATGGGATGTTTGGGAGTTTTTCCTTTGGCGTTAGAGTAAATGCACTGCCTCTATTAAGAATAGAAATTCATCATCCATCTTCTATTGGATCCATGGAATGGGAAGAGTTGGTAACCAATGGTAATTTTTTCAAGTCTTTTAATTGCAGTTATTTCTTGTTATTTATGGCTAGTGTCTTATTTTCTCCTCACGAATTTAATCCTCCATGCTATGAATTGATCCATGCACTTCATGCTTCCTGGAATACAGTTGAAATTTTTATGGTTTTGAAATAATCTACTTTTTAGGAGCATATCGGGAACTGGTGTCATGTAGTAACTGCACTGACTATCAAGCAAGGAGACTTTTGGTTCGCTTTGGACAAACCAAGAAAATGGGAGCTCAGGTGAGAGAATAATATCATTCATCTTTTCCTCAAGATTAAGAGTTTTATTGTATGGAAAGAACTGGAATGAGATTTATTGAATAGACTATGAATTCATGAAGAGTTTGTTTCTTACTTCTCTATATATTTTCTTATTCACAAGTCTTCACCCTAACAGGCTTGGTGTTTTATTTTACTGTTTTGCTTCCAGACAGAGTATGTGCACATGCTGAATGCCACCATGTGTGCCACAACTCGAGTTATCTGTGCTATCCTTGAGGTTTATCAGGAAGAATCTGGGATTCGAGTGCCCAATGCCCTCAAACCATTCATGCCTCCTGGTTTGTTTATGCTTCATGCTTCAACCATCCACAGGAGTTACACCTATTGGTGATAATCCTTGATTACTTGTCAATATTTTTTCCAGGATATCAAGAAATGATTCCATTTGTAAAGCCAGCTTTGATTGATGAAGCTGAAACCAAGAAGCAGAAGAAGCAAAAAGAAGGGATGGCTAAGAATAAGGAAGAGTGAATGGCACAAGGGGAACTCAAGGTGATCCAAGATTGATCACAAATGCATTGGTGTTGCACATAAATGAAGTGCATGTACCTATTTATTCGTCCCCTTTATTGTCCAATTAAGAACATAAGAGGGCAAGAAGAAATAAATATGGGTTTCAATTGAAATGTCAAATAACCTTGTGTGCTCATGCACAAGCACTTATAATCCTCACACACTAGAGAGATGAAAAAGGTAAGATCCAATTTCTGGGCCTTGACAAAAATTGCAACAATTACTTTTCGTGAGTCATCTTTATTATGCTTCCACTCAAAAGATAACTTGTGTAGATTGAAAAAAAAAATGCCATGGTTGCATTCAGTCAAATTGGGTGGGGATGTGCCATCATATGCATGCCTACTGCATGAACTCTTGTAATAAACCATTTAAATAACAGTACATAAAACCTATACATACATGAATCGCACGCTCGAACTTGCGGAGAAAGTGAAACACCTGGCACACCATTGGAATTTATAATTTTTTCATAGTCTTGAGTATTAAAAGTTCTAAGCGACGGTGAGATTGAGAACGATTCCAAGAACGATTCCAAATGCAATCACTCCAAGAATAATCCACAGAATGAGCATAGGGCCTCGGCAGCACTTTCGTTTCCGCGGTCGCTCTTCCACTTCCTCCTTTGGGGGGATAGGGGTGAGAGACTTCTTCTCGGGGTCCCTCATTGGAAGAGGTTCGGGAGGGGCAAAAGCGTCGGCTGGGTAGACCAGGGGACGGGGTCTCATCATGGGAGGCAACAGGTGAGGTGGGATTGCGACCCCCTGTGATGGAGGACGCCTCCCCATCGTCGCTGGAGGAGGTAAAGACATGGTCGGAGGTGCAGGTAGTGGCAAGGGGAGGGTGGCATATGGACGCATGTCGTAGATAGAGGCCGATCTCCTAGTTAAGAAAGGAGGCGGTGGAGGCGGTATCCCCAGTCCGTGAACAGGACACGGTTCACCATCCCAGGTTGGGACTAAGGGTGGAGCCAGCATAGGGACACTCATGGTCGATCGTAACGTACCGTCGAATCCCGGTCCCGCCGGTGACAGCATCATCGGCACTGGTGTGTAGTACGACCCTGGCCGTGGTTGAGCCACCAACGCCTGTCTGCAACCAACATACGTCCTATAAGTAATAAGCAATTATAAATTGCAAATAAATAAAGTGACAGTACCGCTAACAAGTTATCGTGGTTTCACTTGGTATTTACGAGAACCTGACTCGCTCTTTCCTGCCAGCCTTTTAGCATACAAAACCACAAGGAATTTATGATTATTTAAAATGAAATCGCTACGGTTGTTCAACTTGCAGGCCTACACGAGTCCTCTGCTCCAGAAAATCAAAAATAGATTCTCACCTGTCGTTGTAAGCAGGATCTGTATCGGGCTCGGCATCGTCACTAGTCGATGTGTCTGAAGGTGAACTAGTCTCACTCGTGGAGGAAGTGACCCGTGGTCCTCGGGGTGTCCCTCCTGCCCTCAACATGTTGTGATGCGACCCGCCGCCGGTATATCCCCTTGCTCCTTGCATCCTCTCCATCTTGTAGTGCTCCGACGTCGAGCTCCCTGCATCGATGCCGTCGTTTCGACTTACGTGAATCTATTTCAGAGAAGAATGCGTGATCCAGGGTCTCACTTGGCGTGGCGACGGAGTATTTGTCCACGTATCCATTGTGTGAATAGTTGAGATCCCGATGCTGCCAAGCCATCGGAGTACGAGGCGTTTCGACGTCTCTCCTACCTCCTGCGGATGCCGATAGCACCATCCTTGCCTCGACTCTCTGGACTCCCTTGCCTCCCGTCACGTTCCACCTGCCTCAACCTGGGGAATCTGCCGCAATATAGTTCACGGAAAAAAGTGTAACGTCATAACCCATTAAATTCACTCAGTCGAGTATGACAAAACCGTGGAGGGTGACCACAACGACGAAACCATTAAAGAGACGAAGCCACACGTATGCCGAATAGTGTATAACGACCAAGATAGCAGTTTGAGGTCGTGGAAGAAATGGTCCTCCGTTGGATGTACGAAACGAGACATGATTAAGTGGGTCCGAGTACATCTGCTCCCTCGTCGTGCGCATTCCGGTTAGTACTTGGGAGCGGGAACAATGGAACGGCGAAGTGTTTGTAGGTCACCCTTCGTGACCTGTGACGCGTCCCGATTCGTCACGCGTCGGTTCGTTACGATCGTGCGGGTACCTTCGTTGCAATCGGACGACGGAAGAATATGGAAAGAAACACGTGAAAAGGGGGAGAGCGAGAGAGAGAGAATGTCCACATTGATGCCCCGAGGCCCTTCTCTCTTTCCTTCCCTCACTCTGCCCATACCGTAGCCCCATAGGTCATTGGCATTACGCGAAAGAGAGAGAGTGTGTGTGCAAGCGAGAGAAAACGGCGGATCCGGGCACCCCCCCCCCCCTCCTTAGGTCGCATATGCCTATGCATTCCATATTCCTAATTACCTCGTAAAAATGGAGGAAGCTCATCGGTGTGAGTAGCTGGCTCGAGTGAGGGTCGTGCGTGCGTGACCTATCCTTCCAGGCGACCGGCAGAACCGGGTCCGTGAGCGAGGACAAGGCCAACGGGGTAATCGACGCGATCGGTACTGCCAACTACGGAAAACCTTGAGGGAAAAAACGAGCGACCTCGTCGAGCCGCAATTTAGAGCAGCGCAGCCCATCGTGGGAAAGATCCACGATACGCATCGTCTTTGTCTCCACTCCAGACGCGGGGGTGATCGTGACCCTTAAAAAACAAACGGGGTTTGTCACAGTTCGGTGGAAGCTTTTTCTCCCTTTTTCTCTCCTCCCTCTCGACTCCGAAGGAAGTGGCTTTCGTCTAATCTCGCCTCGGATGGGAGACGCAAATATTCCGGTGAGAGAAAAGGAAAGAGCGCGGTTTCCGGTGAACGGGACCGAGGGAGGAAAAAACGCTGGGGCTATTTCCATTATTTTCTCCGTATGGGTTAGCCTACTTAACACCCCTCCTCGCGACACGGGAAAAACACGTCCAGACCTACCGACGTGCGATACCCGAGAGAGAGTGACTCTGGGTTCGAGGCCAGAGGTTCGAGAAGAGTCGAATCGGATTCTCACCGTTCCGGCCGTAGACGATTTCCCCGGACCGATTCGAGACGCGTTCAGCGGATGCAGGCACGAGATGGCGGATGCAGAAACCCCATGCACCATTCAGCGCGACACCCGCACCGGTCTGCGTCGGAGAGAATATCCACAAGGACACGGAGCGGGAAGGGAAGGAGGAGTGCTCGGCTTCCCTCCTTCACGGGCCCCTACCACCGAGGTAGGCAGGCAGGGCAGACTCCGAAACGGAGGAATCTCGCCTCTCCCGCCCGTTCGCCCAACGGCTCTTTTCCTCTGTCGCTTTTCGACACCAGTCTCGGGGACTTCGACGCTCGGCTCCTCGTCATGCGCTCTGCCTCCTACGGTATCTCCCATCTTCGTCTTCCCGTCTTCGCTCTTTTCATTTTTTTTTCTCTCGCCCTTTTCATCTTCACACGTTCTTTTCGCATTCCATCGTTTCCGGCATCTCTCTCTGATTTCGAGAATCCCACCCTTACGAGAATCGACAGCTCGGCAGAAGACCGGAAGAGCCCCCTCGCGTTACTCTCGCTGATTCCTTTTGAGATTTCTTTTATTCATCGGTTCACGCACTCGTGCGTCGCTCGTAGGTACGCTTTTACTCCCACGAAGATCGATCCTTGGTGACCATGCGTGCAAACGAGACTAATCGGATGAATGCCATAGGAGTATGAAAAGCACGAGGGTGACGAAGAACGGAATGCAGGCTTTCCAAGCGAAGCGGAAAGGAAAACCTCTGTCGTCGTGCACGATCTTCTCCCTCTTCTATCTCCACTATGATCGGGGATATGGGATGAGAAAGAGAGGGAAGAAAACCAGGCCGTGTGACTGTGAGTCTCATCGATGCTTTTAGTCCGTGCCGAGGCCGCAGAAGGCTCCCCAAAGATTGGCTTCTTCTCTCGATTGCCCCCCAATCAAATGTCATCTTGGCTGTACGGTACGAGCCATGGAGACGACTAAACCTTCCCAGATTGGTATAATTTCCTCGTTTCAGGATTTCTTGCAAAAATGAGGCATCTGTCATCGACGTGTCACCCCGTTGTCAAAAGAGACAGCTCCGTAATTACCAGAGAATATTACGTCATGACGTCATGCTGGTCTTGTAATTACGAGAAAATCCATTGTGCGTTCGCTGTGTATCAATTAATACTTTACGAGTCGATTAATATATTATCCTTTTAATCCCGGTGTCCAGTATTCTCGACCTTTGGGTTTTGATATATTATTCAATATATATTCAGTGGAGCGGAAAGTCGAGGCGTTCAGACATGCAGACGAAACACTACCGATTGATCCAAAGAGACGCTTCAAAGGGGTGCAGCCGATGCGTAAAATAGCTGGAAAATGCTCGGGATGAAAGAGGATAACGAGGAAGATAGGATTAAGCAGGGTAAAACGACAAAACTGGAACACCCGGAGGCCGACTCGAACGTACAAAAACGCCCGAACGTGCATCCGAGCGACTTTCGGGTCTTGGAGTTTTCCCGCTTTACCCTTTACCCTTTGTCTGGATTCTAAGGTAACGAAGAGTTTTTCACTCGACACGGACGTCCACGCAACTCGGCATTTCCCGCGCGTGGGTGTCCGAATCGAGTGGGAAAATGTGTGGCGAAGTGGGAAAAGCCGTCGAGAGTGGGAGAGCAGGGACGATCGACCTCCTCCTGGAGGTGAAGCGGGAAGCGTCGAGCGAACCACCCGCAAAGCGGGATTCTAATCGCATCGCCTAGAATTATACTCTAAAAGGCGGAGGCCTGCGATTCGAGTATCGCTTCATCGCCACCTCGTAAAACCAGTTACCGGTGAAAGTACTCACTCGCTTATCTGGGGCGTATTTTATTGGTGATTGTCATGACTGTTTGGAAGCTTCAGGGAAAATTAAAAAACAATACACCAGGAGGTCCAAGTTCTTCAGATGGAGAAAAAAAAAAGGGGGGGGGGGAGGGGGAGGGTGTAGGATCACGAGGAAAGAGGGAAGTTGATGGTGCGGAGGAGCCGAATTCGAGAATAGATGTAATCCCAGTCCACGTATCCGCCTTCTAAGTGTCTCTCACCGGATTTTTTCACCTCGTATGCTTCTCTTCCGTGTAGAACTCGTCGGTTGTCGAACGTCATCACGTCTCCTGTAGGATCCAGAGACAAAACACTCGTTTGAATCTTGCCAGTCGTCGAAACTCGTACGGAGAACGCGGATGCGGAAAAAATGAAAGGGGAAACTCGACCTCACGGCGTGTTCTTTCGACAGAACACTTCGACGCTCGTGCTTTTCCGTTTTTGCCTACCTGGTTTGAGGTAAAAACCGATGCAGTTGTCGTAGGCGAGAGTATTGAAGGCCTTGAGAGCGACGTAAAGGGGTTTCACGGACTCCAGAGGGACGTTGAAGCACGAATCTCTGACTTGGTCGTTGTAATTCATCCGGTACGGCTTCCCCTTCTCGTCCAACCTGTCCCGATGCGGACTCGTCGAAAGAGCGGCTTCTTTTCGCGAAGAGAACGAAAGAGGGATCGAAACGGACTGGATGATGGGAGCTCGATGGACGAGATGATACGGAACGTGATCGGATCCGACGTCCAGGTAATCCACGGGCAATTCGGTGAGGATCCGATAGGAATCCGGGTCTCGTTCCTTCAAGGTCTCGGCCACGTAGAAACCGTCGCACAGTTGGCTCTTTCCCCCCTCTTCCGCGGCCGCGATGCAGTGCAGAAACTGGACCTACGAAGACGCGTTTCTCACGTCTCTCTTCGATTCCCTCCGAGAAGGAAAATTTTCCCGTTCGGCGACGCGAAGAGAGTCTCACCCCGGGCATGTGGGACATGTAAGGCAGGTCGAGATGGAGTCCCAGTTTGGCTCCCGTGTAAGCCGCATTCGAGGGATCCGCCTTCGCTCTCACCGTGAATTCCCGCCTGGAATTCCCGCACGTCGACGCGCGTTCTTAGCATCTCCCGATGGCGACTCGGCCCGACGGACCGTTCACGGCGGTGCGCTCGAAAACCCTAACTCACCCGTAATTGGTGCGCGTGAGAAAGGCGATGCGTTCGGCCAGAGCGGCGCATTCTCCCGTCCGTCTGGGTGCATCCACCACGAGAGCCACGCCCAACGTGTCCAGATCCAGGAGCCACCGCTCGAGAACGTCGTCGCGTTCCATGACGTCCGCGTATCCGTAGGCGGGGACGCGGGCTTCCCGTCCCCACGGTTCCTTGTCGTTCGTTCTCTCCCTCAGCCTCGCTTCCCTGGATTCCGGCGCGAAATCTCGTTCCTCGAGCCACCACGCGGGATAGGAGGACCTGTGTCCGTCTTCCCACGCGATCTCCAACCTCTCGCCCTCTCCGTCCAGCTGCGGGAAAGAGGAAAAGCGAGTCCGAGTCCAGTTCCGGACTCTCTTCTTCGCCCTCGACCTTTTTTTTTCGCGCCTCGTCCCCGTCGCGTTTCTACGGTCCCTTCGAGAGTCACCGTTTCGCACCGGCGTGCATCGACGACGAAACGATCGGGGTTCTCGCGATTCGGTGCAGTCGAGCGGTATTTACGAGCCTCCGGTCGACGACGAAAGAACGAACGGTGAGTGCAAAGTCGATGCCGCGGTCGAGAGCTCAGCCGACTCGGCCGCGGTCGGATCCGTCGATCGGACTCCCGGGTTCGTTTCGTGCCGCCGACGATCGCGAAGATTCATCCATTTAGGGAAAGGATTCCTTTTCGAACTTTGGAAAGCCGTTCTCATCGAGAGAAATCGCTTCGCCTCGGATTCGGCGAGGTCCCGATAGAGACTCGAAAAAAATCCGCTCGCGACCGCTTTCCGAGAGACGGAACCCCCCGACCCGATGGGTTCGAGGTCGACGCTCGAAAGAGAGAGAGAAAGAGTACGTGGACGCTTCGGGGTCTGACGTCGGGATCCAGGGATTCCATGAGGACGAGCCTGGCCTGGGCGCTCGGGACGAAGCACGAAGGACAGAGGCAATTATCCCTCAGCCAAACGAACGGAAACTCGGCGGAACTCCTCTCGCTCCGATCCCAGCGGATCTGCACCGTCCCGTCTCTCTCCGAAGCCCGGCACTCGATCGCCTTCACCTTCCGGGTCCGTTCCCGTCCTGTGCCGAAACGGAAACCTCGAACGACCTCGGACGACCTCGGACGACCTTCGGGTTCGCCCTCGACCCGTCGGTCGGAGGCTCGCCCGAGGGCGGAACGAATCCGTCGGCGAGGGAATGGCATCGTCCGGCGTCGACGGAGCGACGTCGCCCTTCCGGTGGGAGATTCGCGCCGGATCCGGCCGACCGTTCGAGTCGTTCGTCTCTTTCGTCTCGTTCCGGATGCGGACCGTTCGGTGGTGTCCGGATCCCGTTCTCGCCTCCCCGTCCGAACTCGAGAGATGCCGGAATCCGTGGAGGCGTCGGTGGGATCGACCCGCTCCGAGGCGAGATTCCTCGCTCCGAACGACCGAGGCGCCGAGGCACCGAGGCACCGAGGCACCGAGGCACCGAGGCGCGAGTGCAGTCGTGCGTCTTTCCCGAAGTGGAACGAACGGAGGATCGCCGTCTCTCCGAGGTACCGTATATCGTCGATGCGATCGTTTTTTCGGAACAATCGTCGGAGTCGGACTCGGACTCCGAACGGGTCGCACGTGCGATGCAGGAATCCATCTCTGCCCAGAGACCGATACGGGACCCGGGATCCCGTCTCGTACTTCCCCCTTTTCCCCTCTCCCCCCTTTCCCCCCCCTTTTTTTTGCATTCCGTCATTTTTGACGTCCGCCGCGAGGTGAATCCTCACCGGCGGTCGTTCTTACGAACGAAAAAGTGTTCCTCGTTTGACCTCGCGGCACGACCGAGAAGCGATTCCTCTGCCGTGGATTCCGATCCTGGACTCGCGAAGGCGCGCCGTCGTTTGCGTATCGGCCACTGGACGGCAGTGGAAACGAGGAGTTCGCGTCTTCACGCATCGCATCGCGTTTCCCGGGACGCATTCCACTCCGCGGAACGCACACCGTCGAGATCGCGGCGCGTTCCGATCGGATCGCTCGGAACGGACTTCTCTCGACCCCCTTTGCGGCTTTTCGGCTCCGTTCCGCGGAGACGAATCGACTCTTCGGCTTCCGGAGGTACCGCTTCTCCGGTCGACGCGCTCGCGGCGGGTCCCGGAGATCCGAGGGATCCGTCGGCCGACCGGGTCGGACGGATCTCGGAGAACGCCGCGTTTCCGCGACCGTTCGCACTCGGCAAGCTCGGAACCGCGACGGAAAACGTATCGGAACGCGCGCTCGAGTGGCGTTCACGCGCGTTCGCGAAAAGCGAAACTCGTCTGGAATCCTCGGCGGTTCGCACGATCGCGAGGGTCGTTCCGAAGGTCGACGCTCGCACGATCCCTCCCGTTCCGCCCTGCATTCGATCCGAGGTGCATGGAAATCGGAACGCAGACTTTCGTGTCTGCGACGGCGGAAGTGCCGTAGAAAGTGAACTCGCGGTGGGAGAGGGCGTCGCAGTTCGCGCACCTTTCTAAACGGGGCGATTCCACGAGAACGCGGCCCTCTCGCATCGTTGCGGACCGGTCGCCGACGGCAGCGCCCTCTCTCTTTCCCCGTCGATTCGACGCGGCAGGAACTTCGCCGAAGCGGACGCGAAAGCGCGTTCGTATCGGTTTTCCCGGACGAAACGACGGAGGGTGGGGACTCGCGAATCCTCGGTGCGTCGACCGTTACGAGGACCTGCCCGTTACGTCCCGACGAAGGCGTAGTCGGTCGTCGGGGGCGTAGAATCGTCGGGAACGGAGACCTGGAGACCCGGAGACCCGAAGACCCCCGGAGACCCGAAGACCCGAAGACCCACGCGGAATCGTGGCAACGAGTCGCGGGTCGCACGGTATCTCGCCCGTCGACACGATCGCGAGTCGATCGTCGACGGAGCGGTTTCGTCGTACGCGATCGGGCGAGATCGATCGGTCCGTTCGAGTCGCAACCGAGAATCCTCGCGTTTCGGTGCGAAAACGGCAAGGAATCGAGGATGAAGATTCGGGGGTCGGATGGGGACGACGAGAGGCACGAGTTTCTCTAAGCATCCCGTGTCCAAGCCATCCTTCAAGTAAAGAGGTGATTCTGCAATCAGATTCTGGCCTGGGACTTACACGACTCGAATCGATTTTTTTTTTCTCGTTCGGCTGCTACCATCGAATCGGGTGAATCTGCCGCATTCCCTCGAGGAGTGGTGATCCTTCCCTTCTTCCCCCCCACCTCATCGTCACCCCGTCGTCACTTCGTCGTCACCCCGTCGCGAATCTCGAGCGAGTCGAGTTCGGACGTTTCTAAATGCGTCTCGTATTTTACCGTTTCCGTTGCCCGCCTCCGAACCCTCTCGAGTTCCACAAAATCGCTCTCTGTTTGCAACCCTCTAGAATTCGAGACGATACTTTAAATGGGGTCTCCTCGGTGCGCACGGGATGGAAGATCGACGAGCGACTTTTCGGCAGTGGAACGTCGGACCCTGTCCGATACTCGATGGCGTTTGGCCACTGGGGCCCGAACGAGCGAAAACTCGAGTTGCTCGTCTCGAGAGATTCCAGCGTCCCCCTTCCCGTTCGCTTCCTCCAATTCGTCCTCGCCGAACGCATTCCGTACTATACGTCCCTTTTTATCGAACTTCACGAACCGGATTTTACTCCACTCGTCCAAAAGCCGTAAATCTCTCGGCTCTCGTCCTGCTCTTCTCCCCCTCCCCCCTCCCGGTGGATGAACCTATTTTCGTGTCGTTGGAAAATTTTTGCCGACTTCACTCGACTGAGATTCTGAGCCAAATCTTTAATGTCAGCCACGAAAAGAAGTAGTCGCATGACTTCGCTCTGGAGGATTCCGCACGCGACACCTTAAAACGCTGACACTTCTCCATTTACAATTCCTCTTCCAAATTCTTGTCTCTCTTCCCACCAGCCAGTCACTCATCGAGTTTCTCCCCATATCTTGAATCCCATGCGCCTTCAATATAACCAATATAGCTCTTGTGAGGAACGGTATCAAAAGCTTTCGCGAAGGGTAATTAGACGATGTCACAAGATGCCTCTCATCACACATTTTTACGTCGAGTCAGGTCGAATCGTATCGACTCCGAAAAGTACCGTCGCGCTTTTTCAAAGCTTACACTTCGCAGCAAAAGAATTTGGGTCTTAATATTTAACGAAAGTACAGATTGTTCCACGTGAGGAAATGTTCTTCTCGCATCGTCGCGTCTCCTACGATTCCGAAAGATGTAAACTTTTTAGATGTCACGACTTCCTGCTTCACCGAGCCAAGAAGTTCCGGTTCGGTTCCAGATTTTCTTCGCTTTTCGGGATTGAGAAGATGAACCGCACCTTTTCTGTATTTACACGGTCGATCGCTTCCGATGACGCGAAGGATCTATTCATTTTGCTCCGATCGTCGGGAATTTCGCTCGCTTGAACGCACCATCAGGCCGAGGATGGAAGGGGAGAGAGGGGAAACGATCCAGGGAGAAGTGGATGGGGAAGGATGGAAGGGGAGAGAGGGGAAACGATCCAGGGAGAAGTGGATGGGGAAGGATGGAAGGGAGAAAGGGAAACGATCCAGGGAGAAATGGATGCAGGGGACCGTATGTCCGTTCGGCCAGGTGAAAGATTTCTTATCGAATCCGAGTCGCCCGGAACGATCGGAAATGGATCTTGCGTCTTTTTCCTTCGTTCGTGCAGCTTCGTCGATTGAAAACAACAAAAAAAACGGAGCGGAGCTGGGGGCGAACGGCACGGATGACTGCATCGCACCTCGACGATCGAGAGCGAAGCGACTTCGATCGGACGGCCGATCGAAGTATTCCCTCTCTCTCCGTCGCGAGTCCTCGCGCTCGCATTCCACGAGACGAAACCGTGGAAAAGAGAAAGGAAAGGAGATCTTTTCCGTGGTACATTCTTTCACGTAGAGGATGATCGGGTGAGAAAAAACGGGGCTCGACATTTCGGAGATGTCATCGATGACGGGTCGGACGGCGTTAGGAGCGTTTCCCGCACCTTTAACACGCGCCGGGACTCTGCATCCCGAGATGACTTTTTTTTTTTCCTTTCCTCGCATCATTCGATCGCACTATTCGAATCTTCACCGGCTGGAACGAGGTGGGTCGTCCCCTCCCCTCTTTTTTTTTCATCGCAGAAGTTTCGTGATCTTCGCGCTTGTGGATGGAGCAACTCCATCACGGTCAGGTCTCAACATTTAAGGATGTTTTTAGGGGAAGATCCTGCCCTTTTTCCTGCGAACGACTATCTGTTTGCTTCCGACGCGGGCGCGAGAGCAAACACCGAAAGAACCGATGTTGCAATCGATTCTCGTGACTCCGCAGCCGAGAAGTTCGAAGACGGGTCTGTCGTTTGCGGAGTGGGCAGGGAATCGCGCGGTCGCACGTAAACGGATTCGAATCGCAAGAGGAATCGTGGAATGCATCATGGAATGCGTCACGGAGTGCATGGCCTCGTCTCATTCTCCGTCTCCACGGTCACGGCTCCGGTCGGTGGAATTCGATCCGCGGCCGGTCGTCGCCGGTCGCCATTCCGCGTCGAGCCGCGCTCGGATCCCTTGAGAAAACGTAACCGCATCCGCCTCTCCTCGACGGATCGCCGACGCGATGGAGCCTCGTCTCCCCGTCGGGGGCGTCTTTCTGCCGGTCCACGGGCTCCAGATCGAGCCGAACGATGGAATTCCCGGAAACGAAGATCGTGAGAGAAAGGAAACAGACTCAGACTCGGACTCGGTCGGACGGAGACCGTGGCGGGGACGAGGGGAACGGGAACGTCTCTGCCGTTGCCGTTCGCTCGCGTCGTCCACCGAGATCGCAGCACGCACGACGACACGCCACGGATGCAAACGCGTCCGAGTAGCATCCTCGACGACGGAGAGGGAACCTGTTTTATGGCACGGCTCGAGAGCGACTGGGGTCTCGACCGGTTTCTTCTCCGACGAACGGGTTCGCTTCCGGATCTGGATCGTCTGGATCCCGGATGGGTCTTCCTCCGTCACTCCGATCTCGTCCGTTCCTCCGCCTCGTTCATCCTAAGTCTTACCGATCTCGTTCCGAGTGGGCAAAAATATGCATTATGAAAAAAGACTCCTTTCTGGGAGATTTCCCGCAGCTGTCGGTGGCCCAACGAAGGGAGGGGGGAGGGGAGAGGGGGGGCTTTCGAACGTCTTCTCGAATATCAGTTACGATCAGGCCGGATTATATCATCTGGACGAAAGACAGGCATTGTCTAGGACGGTTATTGTTGCATCGCCTAATCTGATCGCCGTGACGCCGGAGTACCAGGCACCTTCGGGTTCTTTCGGGGTCCATCTGGGTCCATCTGGATCCATCCATCGATAAGAGGAGTGGAGTCCGATCCGTTCGCTCGTGTGTTCGGAACGAGTCCCCTGTTTTTTGACACGGTACCCGATCTTTTCCCACGTGCCACGAACATCGCGATGGATCCGTTGAAGGAGGTGACCCGGCAGGAGACTCCAAGTACTACTGGCCAGGGGGTCCGAGGAGACGAGCTCCATTTTCCTACGATGTCTCCACATGGCTCTC